CTGGAAAGTCCCTGGAGCAAGGCCAGGGCGGGTGGAAAGCCCCGGCCGGCGCCGGAAAGCCCGGCCTTGCGCAACGCGCCGCCTCACCGGGACTTTCCCTCCCCCGCAGGTTCCTGCACTTAGCCGTCATCCACGAGGAGCTGGCGCTGAGCCTGGAGGCCATCCGACAGGCGCGGGACGCGCCTGCCTTCCTCGACCTGCAGAACCACCTCAGCCAGGTACCTACCCCTCCTCCCTAGGCCGGCTGGGCTGGGCGCCACTCTGCCTTTGGCCCGTGGTTGAGCCTGCTCCTGTTTGGCCCCCAGACACCGCTGCACCTGGCCGTGATCACGGATCAGCCTGAGATCGCCGAGGCCCTTCTCAAGGCCGGATGCAACCCCGAGATCAGGGACTTCCGTGGAAACATGCCACTGCACATCGCCTGCGAGCAGGGCTCTCTGCGGAGCATGGGGGTGCTCACGCAGTACTGCCAGGAGCACCACCTGCACGCCATCCTGCAGGCTGCCAACTACAACGGTACGCCAGCTCTCAGTTTACACCAGTCTGACTAGACGGCCCTTAGATAGGGCGTTGGCTTTTTGCAACCAAAGGAGCTTTAGAAAGGCGCCAGCTTCGGCGTTCCCATTTCACAGATGTGGAAACTGAGGCAGGAATGGAACTTCCTTAAAGTCTCTCTGCAGTGGAGCTGGGGATAAGTCACAGTCCTGCCTGCCTGCCCATCTTTGCTCTGTCCACTGGCTCTTGGCACTTGAACTTCTAGCATCTACTGCTGTGGGGATTTTCTTTTTGGTTTTTTGGCTTATACTATTTTAATTTTTGATGTTTTGCATGTTTCCTTGTTTGGTTAAACAAGCTACTGTGGAAAATAAACTTTTTTTTTTTTCCAGGCTTTTTTATTTTTATTTTTTAAGTAAAGCATCTAAGAAATAGGTTCTTCAAAAATTAATGTGATCCTCCTATTCTCTGAGCACTCTGGTTCACATAAAAATTTTGCCTTTGATTTGGAGCAATGGTTTCAAATACCAACATATTATATAGGATAGAAAGGAATTTAGATCCAAGTGAGTAATAATGTGTAATGGGGGAAGTAATGTTTAAATGTGTTTGCCTTTCAGGACATACATGTCTCCATTTGGCATCCATTCAAGGGTATCTGGCAATTGTGGAGTGTTTGCTGTCCTTAGGAGCAGACGTCAATGCTCAGGTAGGTATTTGAAGCTCTTGGTTTAACTGAATGTGATAGCGCAGGCATAAGAACACATAGTTCTGTATTGTCACACTTAACTCCTGAGACTAAATGTCCTGTTTTATTTTTCTGAACAGGAGCCTTGTAATGGCAGAACTGCCCTACACTTAGCTGTAGACCTGCAGAATTCAGAGCTGGTGTCACTTCTGGTGAAACACGGGGCAGATGTGAATAAAGTAACCTACCAAGGCTATTCTCCATACCAGCTCACATGGGGAAGAGACAGCTCCATCATACAAGAACAGCTGAAGCAGTTAACCATAGCAGACCTACAAATGCTGCCAGAAAGTGAGGATGAGGAAAGCAGTGAATCAGAATCAGAATTTACAGAGGATGAAGTAAGTATTTATTTTCACCTTTATTGCAGAAAGGACCTTCTATGCAAGTTGCCTCCATTAAAATTGTTGGAAATGTGCACACCTGCTGCCCTTAGGTTTTAGGGTTGGGAGGTGATATTTTGGTGGGATACAAAATGTAGTCTGTTACCACACTGGATATAAATTGTATACAATCAAGGCAGACTAAGAGGTTACAACAGCAAACATTAGAAATCCAGTAGTAGGGGCTCGAGTACTAGACACCCAGTCCTATTGCAATAAATTTATTTAAATGTAGATGTCATTTCTGGATCACTGTTTGTGGGCTTTAATGAAGCAAAACTCACAGTGGTTCCAAAGAGACTTTTTTGAATAAGTGCTGTGAAATATTGCATTTTTTATTTCCTTATGATCAGGATCTTGTTAAGGGAAAGAAGATTGGTAAAACTAATGTCACGATACAATACAGCCTTAAGAAATTCAATAGTTGTTATTGAATGTTAGTGTGCAAATCATCTCAGATTAAAGATTACATTCTGTTCACCTTTAGTTGTGTGAGCAGTGGCTCACCTTAGTTATGGGAGCAGTGACACTGAGGTTGAGACTAGCAGAGCTTGACCTGATTTTGCTTTAGGTATATATGAGTGTTTCCTATAAAAGTATTGCATTGACTTATACTATTCCTTTTCCCTTGTAGCTGATGTATGATGATTGCATTATTGGAGGACGGCAGTTGGCATTATAAAATGGAGGATTCTCAGAAAGGACATAAGTCTATACATATGCACAACAAAGACTTATTTTCTTCAAAAAATGGAAAAATGTGAAAAAAATACTGAAATACACTGCACAGCACAGAGCACATGACTATAACAACAAGATTCATTGTTCTGAGCTGCATTCTAATTATGGGAGAAACAGATCATCAGTAGAAATCTGTGACACATTGCACCACCCCTCAGTTAACTGGTTGTCCTAATGTATGATCAGTATGAAGACAGACTGCAGTCCACCTGAACATGCATTTCATATACAGGAATGTGTACAAGAGATGTCCAGAGAGCATGAGTATGGTGGAATGTTTGCCTCTAAAATGTCAGGACAGGTTCACATGAATATCCCATCCTCTTTGACTACATTTCATAGATTTCTGTTGGGGCTGATTATAATGCACTCTGTTGACTAACCTCAGCTGCTCTTTGTGGTGTATTAGGAGATAAGAGGTGTTGAAATGGGGAAGTGACCTCTTGGCTTTTATAGGAAAGGTAGCAATAATGTTAATTGTGGACCTGGTTTCCAATGCATTTCGCACTGTGTGTGTCATAATTGCTACACCTTTAGCTGTTGTACATAATGTATATGTTGTACATTCTGTTTTATAATTATTTTGGTACCTGTCCAATTGTATATTTATTAAAAAAAAAAGTCAAAGCCAGTTGTGGCTGTGCGAAGTAATTCGCATGCCTTCAGATGAAAATCCAGTCCTGTTTTTAATTTCCACTACCCCTCTGCCCTTCCAAATCTATCTGGCAGGAAGAAAGCTTATTTAAGAAGCTGACATCAAAGATGCTGATGTATTGATTCCCCAAATCCACAAAGGTCTTTTAGATCTTTAATTCCTACTTTTGATACCTAAATAACATTATGGAGCTGGGTCTGAGTCACCACTGGGCAAAGGAGTAAGACCTTGTGTTCATATTCCAGTGATCATGTTGCTTTTTAAATCCTTGTTACCCAAAAAATGTGTAAGCATTTTTTGCACAACCAAAAAGATAACTGGTTTCAAAGCCTAATGTACTGTGAACATTATTCAACTGATGCATAGGGAAGCGGTCTAGCAGATTGCAGAGGTCCTCTTTGCATCTAGGAGAAGCTACTTACCTGTGCCCTGCACAAAAAGGTGGGATGGTGAACTTTGTCTAAGAGTAATGTTTTGCTTTGCTGCTCTGGCCTATGAGCCCTTTAACCCAGAGATATCAAACTTGTGTGCACCCCCTGGGCCAGAATCAGACCAGAGGGCTCCTTGCAGGCCAGCCCTGGACCTGGAGACTGAATTTAATGTAGCTATTGTTTGCCCGATGCCACTAGCATGTGTGTAGTGGGCCTCCATAGTTTGGAGTTCTATAGTAGATCCCACTCCCAAATTCCTGGCCCTTCTGAGAGCTTTGCAGGCTGGATTTAGGATCACTTGACAATAAGGCTGGAAGAGACATCACAAAGTCATCTAATCTAGGCCCCTGCTCAAGGCAGGATCATCCCTGACTAAACCAGCCAGTCCAAGTATGTATCTAACCTGCTTCAGAAAGTTTCCAAGCATGGAGATTCCACAACTCCAGGTAGCCTGTTCCAATACCTGACCACCCTCAGAGTCAGAAATTTCTTCCTAATCTCCAGCCTAAATTTCCCTTGCTGCAGTTTGAAGCTTGCTCCTATTCCTGTTCCCTACAGCCACAGGAAAAAACCTATCCATCCTCTCTAATTGTCCTTTAGTAGTTGAAGACTGTTCTCAAATCCCCACCCACCTCAGCCATGAAAGCTGCGTGACCCCAGAGACTGGGGGGGCATGGCAACTGCCTGCAGGTGGTGATGGTGGTGGCAGGGGCATGGCAACGGCAAGCTTACGCAGGCAGCCACATGAGGGGCAGGCTGAACGGGGAGCTCCTGCAGGCAACTGTGGCGGTGTTGGCAGTTGGCGGGGGGATCAAGCGCCAACCTGCAGTTGGCAACCACCTGTGGACACCGTCGGATCGGGGACAGCCTGCAGATGCCACCAGTGGTGTCAGCGATGGGGGGTGGCAAGCGGCAAGTGCCTGCAGGTGCTGCTAGCAGCTTCAGCAGCACTTTTTGCAGGGGGTGCACTGCCAAGCTCGGGATGCACGTGTACCCCCTATGCATCACCAATGCCCTCAGCCTTCTCTTCTCCAAACTAAATAACCCTAGTTCTTTTGGTATTTCCTTGTAAGTCTTACCTCCCAGGCCCCTAGTCATTTTTGTCGCCCACGGATGGACTCTTTCCAAACCGTCCATAACCTCCTTGACGCATGGGGCCCAAAACTGGATGCAGTACTCCTGGTGTGGCCCCACCAGCGCTGAAGAGAGCAGAAGAAACACTGCCCTCAATTTGCAAGTGACACTTGCATTTGATTTTGCAAACAACATTTGATCAATACGTCATGCATTTCACTCCCCTGCTTTAAGCTTTGCATGGGGTTCAAGGCTGCTACCAGTAGACATGCATATAGTAAATTACATGGTACATGATTTCTTCAGAAGGTGAAAGGGCAAAGCAAGCTCCACCAGGATTGGAAGCCATGGTTTGTGAGAAACATGAGGCCCTTCAGGTCAGATGCTTAAGGGTATCTGGGTGCCTACTGCTGCAGACAGGCATATTGCTCTAGATCTTGAACAATATTTGGTCATCTATTAGTGGATGATTCCAGTGGGAGGGAGCACTTTTACACCCTTAAAAGTCTGGCCCCTGCTGATGGTTGTAAATTAAATGCACATAGATTTGGGTTTCCTCTTCACACTTGCATGGAGACCTGGGGTTCTCTCCAGCAGAGAAGTGGCAGATGGTTCAGCCCACAGAACACAAGGATAACCTGAGGCTATCTGCTGAGGTCTGAACCCTCACAAGATCTACACCAGCCCTCAAAGCACTGTAGCCCCTCCATGGTATGGATAAGGACTTACCGGACACTCCTCACTGCGGATGTCACAACACAAATAGGAACTCAGGTAAGAAGGTGGCAGCTTTCTCAGCTGAGTTTTACAATAGCTTGTCATTAAGGCTTAGAGAATGGAAAGCAATCCACCCTCCCTCCCCACCCCCAGCTTTACTCCAAGTCAAGTTGTTTGATGCCTACAGGATTTTTATGAAGGGGACTTCTGCTGAGGGAAGGAAAGCATGTCATGGAGCAAATGTTGCATTCTTCCATCCCCCTTTCCTGGCCCAATCCACCTGTCAAAAGCCACAGGTTTTGGCTCCTTTCCATCTAGGGAAGTAAATTATGTGAGCTTAAGCCTGTTGGACATTCTTTCAGCTATTCCTTCCAGCATCTTCAGGAGTAAAACAATTTGGATTAGGTTTTCCTCTGCATCTGAACTTGCTAAAAGGAAGGAGGGAAGTAAGTGTGGACTGCTCTGACTTATGAGTTCTTATGAGAGCCTATGAAGCAGCTGAGCTCCACTACAGTTCTTCCCCAACTCAGACATGTCCAGTCCCTTCCCTGGAATACTCCCTGTAACAGGATGGGGTGGAGTAGGGCAGCTGACACCAGAGCTTGTTCTGCCAGATGTCTGCCTGCAAGTCATTCCCCTTCAGGAGGGGAATTCTCAGCTGGTGGCTTATGGACAGAATCCAGCCCCTTTGCCTCACTTGAGCGACACAAAGTCAGATTGTAGTAGAAAATCAGGCCTTTATCTTTAAGAAGGACCTGTACCAATGTTCTGCTGAAAAGCTTTATGATGTAAAAGTCATCTGAAGATCTGCCTTTTCCAGGGGATGTTTTACATGGGGATGAATGTCTCAGAGAGTAAGGCTCTCACTGATTTGCATTGAATCCAAAGGCTGGTGTGGATATGACTGCATGAAATTGTCATCCTGAGTCAGTACTATTTCCCTTCCACCAGTATTTCATTACTGTATCCAAGGTTTATACTCTGAAACTTCCTGTTAGAAGGCCGTGACTGAATGGGCCTGTGCAATCTACCAGTCTCAGGAACAGATGAGAACCAAACAGACTTGGCCAGATTATTTTTAAATTAACTTTGGGCCTAAACCCACAACCTTTTATGCATCCAGAACTCCCACTGAACCCAAAAGAGGAGTTCTGCAGTACACAAAGTATGCAGGGTCAGGCTTGTTACTGTCAATTTAAAAGAAAAAATCCACTGGAGGGATACAGCATTAATAGCAAGCCAGTGAACTGCATAGCTTTGACAACATAGGAACACACAAGCTGCATACCCACATGCTGTACACAGGAAACAAATCCAAACTGCCATGCATTTTCTTGAATAAGAACCCAAGCTCAGCATAATGACCTATAGTAAAAAAACCTGATTTGTTCCTTTCACCTAGATTTCCCCATCTATAAATTATGGGGGAAAAGGCTCCACCAAACTGCAAGCACGCTACAGTGGTAAGCTCTCTAGAGGTGCTCAAATGCTAGTGCTAGACATGGTATAGGAAATCTCTCTTCCACTCTTTCCCCTACCCACCTTGCCTCTCTCAGCAGTGCTCTTTTCCTCCTCCCCGCCCCGTCTCTTTTTTCCTAGCCTTTCTATTCTAATCACTGCTTTCTATTTAGAAACTTTGCTTCCTGCAGTCCCTTGACAGCATCTGATGAAGCAAGCCCACTGCTTACAACTGCTTATACTATGCTTCTCTGATTTAGTTAGTCTATAAAGGTGCAAATCTATCCTGCCTTCTACCATAAAAAATATCAGCATAGATTCAGTATCAATACACAAGACATATTATACAGGCAAAGAATTATTATTACATGGGTAAGGACAACATCCAAAGAAAAATTCACAAATGTTTCTATGGCGCCATACTAGCCAGGAGTTCTGGAAGCTGTGGTATATTCCATGCAGCCAATTTCAACATTTTGACAAAGATAATTTCCTGAACAGCTGACTTGTTATTTCCTTGTAGAAATAGGCACTTTACCTTACAAGGAAGTTATTATGCTGCTTGACAAACCACTGCTAAGGTATAAGTGCATTTGTTAATCTCCTCTTTTTCCAAAGCATCATTAATTCAAAGCAATACATTGTACTTAGACATCCAGATTTTAACAAGCATGATGTGAATTACTACATATATCTTTTGTAAAATACATTTCTGGTAATTCACATTGTTGCAGCAATCCCAACCACAGTGAAATTCAGTATAATGCTTAAGAATTTTACCTGATAACAATCTGGCTATGGGGAAAAGATGTTCACAAGTCACCTACATAGTGCAGTGCTTTTTGAGAATAAAGTAACAAGGAAGCATTGCCTCTACGTATGACCCTTATGAGGGGAGGGATGGGGGAGGGGAGAGAGTCTAGCATCAGTAGTCTTTCTGTCCCCTGCATCCCCAAAGGCATATAGAAGGTAAAAGGAAGGGCTTGCAACACACTCTAGCCACCTTAACATGTCCAGACAGGCACAGTTAAGACCTGGACCTTAGTTTTGGGCATTCGATTGGCTTAATAAGGGGTATTTCCAGTAGGACAATTCCTGTATTTAAAATCTGGACTGCTCCTATTTAGACACAAAGAAAAGGTTTTCTTAGCACAGAAGAACGCCTATGGCTTCTTAGCCCTTTGCTTGTTGTCATGACCTTTGCTTGTTTTCTCCATGGAAACCTCACAAGATTTCCCGAGAAAAGCCATGAGAAAATTATGACCCTACACCCAGGCTCTAAAAGCTGATTTGACATGATCCCTTGGAGGACAGCTAC